ACGAAAATATATGTATCGATAATCAAAAATATATAATTTTTACATCGGCATATGGTTTAAAAAAATACAGGAAGAAGTAAAAGGAGGTAAATAGCTATAAATTGTATAACAATAATAGTGTAGAAAGAAAAGATAATACATATTATATTCTAGATTAGAGGTTCAAAAATTTTAAATAAAAGATAATTAATTAATTAGGCGAAGGCTAGTTTAGCTTATAATATTTGGTTCAAAGTGAGTTTTTTATGTGATTTATATTTAAGTAATGAATTGATTTGTTATATCAAGTCAAGAGAAAAGGTTTTAAGTTTATTCAAAGTAAGACGAATTGGTAAGAATATTTTTGCTTTGTTATTTTTTATTGAATTTTAAATACTATATATAATATTTCATTTTGTTTTTTAGTCCATACGATTACAAAATGTAGAAATATTGCAAGAAAATCACTCAGGTATTACATTATGTATGTGAAAATACTTCATGATATACAACATTATCCGTGTAACAATAATTTAGTTATATTTGGATCATTATATGTGAGAATTTTAATAGCACAGTAGAAAGTAACTCTCGATAAAGCAACGTATAATTGACCATATGAAATAACTGGTTTCGATAGATAGATACTAACTTGATTCAATGTTTGATCTTGTGCTTTGTTGATGGTCATGGAAAAAGCAAGGCGTACTGAAAATTGGCGTTTTGTTAAAATGAAAGGTAAATTGGTATCAGATGATAATGAAATTCGAGGTATAAATACATAACTACCGATATAGGATTCTATGATAATTTTAGCAATGATTACTTTGTTATAAAGAGCTTGACAAATTAAGCAGGTTCTATTGCAAAGTCCTTCTGCTAGATTTAAGTTACACGGAAGCATTATAGATATACCAACTTTTAACTTTAACTTGCCAGGAGGAAGGCCAGAGATTTTTATAGATCTTAAAAATTCAGGTGGATATAGATGAGAGTGGTTTATATTTCTATCATCTGCCGAATTTGTGGTATTTGTGCTAGGATATATAAAAATTGGTCCAGAGAACTGATCTATCATTAGATCAAAGATTACATCAATATCGTTATTTTTTGGAGTCAGTATAGCTCTTTCAGTTAAGTAATTAATATTATTGAAGTTTTGGATAAAATTTGGATAAACGTAATTAATAAGATTTGATAACATTCCACTAGCTACAACTATATCAGAAAGGAGTGCTATTCTATTTTCTGTGTCTGCAATGATCAGGTAAGTTCCATCTTCTATTTGTAAAAAAAACTCAGAAAATTCTCTTTGCTTCTTCCTGTATTTTTTTAAACCATATGCCGATGTAAAAATTATATATTTTTGATTATCGATACATATATTTTCGT